GATAGCATAGTGGGTAAAAGCTTGGCTGCTAACCATTATGTTGGTGGCCTGAACCCACCAGCCACTCTAGGGAGAACAATGTGCCAGTCTGTTTCTGTAAAACTTACAGCCCTAGAAACTTTTTGGACCAATTCTACTCTGTTCTATAGAGTTGATATGTATTGGAATTGACTTGACAGCAACAGACTGATGTTTTATTTTGATTCTACACCATAAATATTCTTTAGACACACTTCTCTCACTTTCCAGTGTTATCACTTTCCTGTCTTATTTAAACTGTTCTTGCCTCCAGTTTAGTGCTAAGCCCCTGGTCCTTGCACTGAAGGTAAAATAATCTTTCTAAAACACACATTTCAACGGCCACTTTCCTCCTTAAAACTATTCTACAACATTTTTTATAAAGAGTTCCATAATATTCATATAATATATATGACCATCCAAGAGCCCCGTCTCCTCTATACTCTTCTTGTATTCAATGAATGATGCTTCCATACTGAACTTACTGTAAAGTGCCTGGATTATTAAAGTTTGTTGTTGTTGTTGTTGTTAAGTGCCTTTGAGTCGGAGCCGACCCATAGCGATCCTGTACAGGGTTTCCGAGGGTGTAAATCCTTACGGGAGTAGAAAGCCTCATCTTTCTCCCGCAGAGCGGCTGGTAGTTTCGAACCACTGACCTTAAGGTTCGCAGCCCGATTCGTAACCACTACGCTACCAGAGTTTACACTTCTTATATTGTTTCTGATCTCAAAGCTTGTGCACAGGTTATTCTAATTCCAAATGCCAGCACATTCTTGGTCTTCTCAAACACACCCACTCCTCCATACAATAGCTAACTGTGATTCCTGTTTCAGGGCTTATTTTAATAATCATTGTCTCGGGAGATCATTTTCATAGTCCCTAGATGAGGTCAAATTTCTCTGATTCTATTACATCCCACACTACCATAATAAAATAATTTTTATTGCAATTACTTACAGGTTTTTTGTTTTGTTTGTTATCAAATTATTCTGGTTCCCTGTATGGGGACTACTCTGTAAGCGCAATAGTTCTACTCTTATCATAGAGCTGAGATTTTGAAGCCTGTCAATAAATATATTTGTGTAATTAACATATTCTGATTAGCTTCCATTTCCTTTCCAGATCCACTCTTAACCCCTTCTCCACAGTGTTCTGCCCCAGAAGCCGGACCTTGTCTTCTAATTTCAGGATGAAATGAACCAATAGGAAACCCTGGCATATCTGATGGGTGCATGAGAGCAGGTTCAGGGTATTTATTCCTCCAGTCCCTTTCCTTGAGCTGACTGCGCCCCTCTACTGATGTCTCATATCTCCTTCACAGTAGCCAGCTCTCCCTAACACTCTCCTCTTGCCATTTGGACCTATGGTAGCAACAGCCCAAGTAGTTTCTAATCCCAGAATACTGCATTATTTCTGGTGGTTTTCCTATAACCTGCCCACACCTTGTAAATATTTCTTTCATCAACCAGCCTCATGCCTCATGTTGCTGTTGAGTGAATTCCAACTCACAGACACCCTATAGTACAGAGACCCTATAGAACTGCCCCATAGGGTCTCCAAGGCTATAATCATTACAGAAGCAGACTGTCAACCTCTTTTTCTTGAGGAGCAGCTGGTGAGTTCAAACTGCTGACCTTGTGGTTAGCAACTGAGTACTTAATCACTGGGGCTCCTTTCCCATGCCCCCAAACTATCCAATTTTGAATGTGCCTTCTGTTTCTTACAGGGACATGGAATTAAAAGAATGCTAAATTTATATTCTAGATTATTTTGCTATATAGAATTTTGCCTACTCCTTTTTTCCATGAGAATATATTATGAGCATTTACCTCATTGATTTTTTAAAAAAAATAAACATGATGTTAAATGACATGATGGTTTTCACATCTCAGACATTTCATCATATATATAATCATTCCTCTATTTGATATATGAATTTGTTCTCATTTGCTACTATCATAAAAAGTGCCCAAAAGTATATTCTGTACCATAATTTAAGATTTGAGTGAATTCTTGTTTCTTTGAATTAGCTACTAGGAGGGGTATAAAGTATAAATTTAAAGTCATAAATATCTACTGAAACTGTGCTACCTAACATTTATAAAAATTACAGTCCCATTAGCCAAATACAAGCACACCCAGTTCACTGCCCTTATTTTCACTGCCAATATTTTACAGTATATATAATGCAGTGCGGCAGAAAAGAATTCCTATTCCCCACTGCCAGGCAAAAGGGGAAAAGCCAATTTCTTTCATCATTAACCTGACAATGTTACAGCATCAAATGAGATTAAAATACACTAGGCTTTGTCAAAAAACAGAGTTTGATAGTTAACTTCCCTAATTAGCTACAAGGCCTTAACCTTTCGGTTTTTGGTACCCTCATTTTTAATATGGGGATAAGCATCACCTACCTTACAGAGCTGTGAGTTTTATACAAGACAATTATAAAGCATGCTTGTTTCTTTTTACATTATTCATTAAAAGTCACACACATTCTTAACCTTGCAGAGTGGCTTTTAGGTTATTTTTAGCAAATAACCATTTTTACAACTTCTTTGTTGGGTTCTCTCATCAGTTTTGATGGTTTAACATTACAGTTATCTAACCCAATCTTTCAACCCCATACAAGGATATCTTCTAAGCTCTGTCTGAACCATTTCCAATCATCATCAGGCAGCCAGTTCACGTCTGAGTACCACCACTTTACCAAGCCAAAATCTGCTTCCCTGTAATTTCCACCCAACCTACATGTGCACTTTGAACCCACTCACAGTAAGACACCTCCCTTTACAGCATGTCAGTTCTCTCAAGTTTTAGATGCTTTTTGTTTTTCCCTCTATATCATTCTTTAAAAACATTTTTAATGTGAATTGAGTGATAGTTTACATGGGAGAACATCAGTTTTACACTCATCATTTCATTGTAATGATTATAATCTCCTCCATGAATCATTGTTCATCACTATTTGCTTCTATTCCCTCTGGTTTTTTTATTTTGTTTGGGGGGGGGGGTGCTGTACACAAAAGCTCAGGAATGTATACTAATTTATAGTTTCAGATTTTCTAACAACCCTGTCACTAGCTATTACAATTTTATCAAAAGGGCTTAATTACACAAAATTACATGAAAGCATAAAAACTGAACGGTGAGTCTGTAAGAAAAGTACTGAAGTGTGAACCACAAAGTTGGTGGTTCGAGCTCTGCAGGCAAAAGATGAGGCTTTCTGCTCTTGAGATCTAGAGTTACACTGCCTAGAACCCTCTTTTTTTTTTTTTTTTTAACAAACCTGTGACTTAAGGCAAGTTAGTCAACTTCTGTCAACTGAATAAGTTCACAGAATTGTTTTGAGTAGTAAGGGAAATAGTTCATGTAATGTTAGTCATTCTTTGGTTCCTTCCTAATAATGCTCAATGAATGTTAATGATAATAATTTTTATTTGCTATGCATTGTAAAGTCCATAAAATTATACACCTCTGTTGATTTTTTTCCTAGAGAAAATACTGCATTTTCACTGATTTCCCTTAATCAACAGCTTCTTGTTCCTCTCCACTTATAAAAATTCTAGTGCTTTTAATCTGGTGCCACAAGATCGAATCTATGGAACGATTAGCAAATAAACATGGCCATCAGCAATCTACAATTTGCTTGATAGTCTACTATTTTAATACTTTGAATTTATTCCACTCTGACCTTGATTTTCAGTTGCCTTGTATTATCTGTTCTATATTACCAAATTTCCAGTCCACAATCAGACTGTAAATTCCATGAAGCAAAAACTTTATAAAAAATACTTTTGTGTCCCAATACAGTAGTCTATAAATATTACGAGGGCAATACTTATCTTGATGAGTTGAATGGAATTATCTAACCCTTTAAGATAAACCGCTTTTGCAGACCCAATTTTCAAGGCAGAACTTAACTTGTAGTAATATTATCAGAAAACAGCTCCTAACTAGTTAAAAAATCATCTATGAAACGATCTTTTCCAGAATTTAGTGTTGAGTTTAACTTCTAAAACTTCCTGTTAATTTCAATATTTGTTGTTGTTAAGTACCATTGAATCAGTTCCGAACCATAGCGACCCTGTGTATGGTTTCCGAGGAGTGACTGGTTACCTTTGCTGTTCAAACGACTTTGCAGTCTGGCGCATTAACCCACAGCGCCGCACCAGGACTCCAATATACTTTACTCAAAAATCACAGCAGCTCGTACCATACTATGGTGGTGGTGGTTATGTGCCGTGGAGTCTGTTCCGACTCATATCGACCCTGTACAGGGCTTCCGAGGCTATAAATCTTTACGGGAGCAGAAAGCCTCATCTTTCTCCCACGGAACATCTGGTAGTTTCGAACTGTTGACCTTGCGGTTCGCAAGCCGATTCGTAACCACTACGCATACTATATACGCTACAAAACAAAAACCAAAACCCACACCTATCCAATTTCAAGCGAATTTCATCCTAAACCTAATCACATGCCGAATTAAACTCGATCCTAAGTGCCTGCATTTTCCTTTCAGCAGAGTTGCCAAACAAGTGTCTACGATTTCAAAGTAGCTCCAAGCTGTCTGTAGCTGACGACTAAACCCTTAAATGCGACAATCCCTCCTTTATTTTAAATCAGACTTTGAGCCTCATATTCTTCTTCTCATCCTGGAGTAGGTGTTAGAGTCAGCAGCCAGACACCTTTACCACTTCCTCAAATCTAGTTCCAGATGAGCCCGGATAAGGGGCGCCTCTGCAACGCGCTCCGCCTCCTAGTACCGATGAGGCAGAGAAGACCCGGGTATTCTTTCAAGTCTTTACCAACCGGTTCCGGTGACGGTGCGGTCAGAGACATGTCCCACTCCGCCAGCCCCTACCTCTGACGCCGTCAAGCGGGGACACTGCCACCAGGGTCGCTGAAGCCAACAAGGGGGAGTCCAGAAATGGGGATGACAGCGCGGGAGAAGGAGCCCAAGGGTCTAAGCGGGTTCTTACCGGCGAAGCGTATTTTCACGAGGTCTAGAGGGTGCAGCGCGAGGTTGGACAGCACCCCACCACTCACGCCCGCCACCAGGTTCTCGTATCGGACATGGCGGAATATCGTATTCCACGCCGGAGACCCGGGCGCTGACTGGCCCTGGCCAGTCATAGGCACAGGATCGGCGGGCACCACGGCGCTCAGAGCCGCGGAGGTAGGACCTGACGCAGTGGCCGCCACCGTGGCGACGGTATCCGCTGGGAGCAGAAATCGGGGGCGCTAGCTCACTTCCGTGGCTGGCACGTGGACTCCGAGGGCGGGACGCGGAGTGAAGCCAAAAGATTGAGACAAAGCGAACGTGATCGGGGTGCAGTCTCCTCTCGCTGGCGGAGAAAGCGTGGAAAGCGGAACGCCAGCCTCCGCCTACTCCTTACCCTGCCTTGCCCGGGCGGCTGTAGCCTCCGGGTAAAGGTTGTAGGCGACACCGAACAGCTAACTGAAGGACCGCCCCCTGCTAACCTTTGCCTGCGAAGCTACGGAGCGCCACAGGATAGAGCTGAGCCGGCAGGCCGGATTCCGTGCCTGGAAGTCATGTGACAGGAAGTAGCCTACAAAAGGTGGAAGTAGAGCGAGTGAGGGGAGGTGGCGGTGATCAGAACCCGGAGCGTGAGAGAGCAAGAGAGAGACTCGTGGAGTTGGGGAGGAAGAGCCGCCAAGATGAAAGTGAAGATGCTGAGCCGGAACCCGGACAATTATGTCCGCGAAACTAAGTTAGACATACAAAGAGGTGAGACAAGTTGTAAGGTTAAAAAAGTAAAGCGAAAGAGACGCTTTCCGCGAGTCTCCGACATCTAGTCTGTTTTCTCGGGGTAAAGCTGGGAAGAAGCTGGCGCTCCATTCTCATAGCTTGTTATCTTTCACCAATTTATTGCAGATAAGGCTGATGCGGGGCTGACTAGCAGCTGTATTCTCTTCAAGTGTTTTTTAGAAATGGGAAATAGTTAACTATAGGTAGGGGGAAGGATTTTGCCTACGCCCTTTTAGCTGCTGCTATCGAATTGTTCTCAGGTTCCTATTACTGTTGAGAAGTGGGGCTTCAGTGAGCCACGCTCATAAATTGAGGGATTGGAGAGAAAAACAGGATTCTCTAAACCTTCCTGCTGGTCTGTTTTTTAGCTGCTTAATGACTTCAGATTGCTTATTTCGGACGTGGAAATAGAAACACGAAACCTAAAGCCATCAGGTTTCTCTTAGCACCAATTCTTGTGATTAAGTTTGATGGGGGTAGTGGTTACAATGACATTTTTTTTTCCTTTTCTTTTGTTTTTAATCCCCTCCAAGGAGATCTGGTAGCGAAGTGGTTACGAATCGGGCTGCTAACCTCAGGGTCAGCAGTTCAAAACTACCAGCTGTTCCGTGGGAGAAAGATGAGGCTTTTTGCTCCCGTCGGAAACCCTGTACAGAGTCACTATGAGTCGGAATCGACTCCACTGCATAACAACAACAACAACATGCATCATTAACCAACCAAAGGGTATATCCTGCAAGCCTCCCCCCCCCCCCCATCCTCCACCCCCAGTTGTCAGCACACAGCCCCTCTCCCTCTCTGGGTCTAAAGCCATTCCTTCTCTTCATATCATCATCTCTGCCTCCATAGTTTCTGCCTCCATCTCTGGCGTCACTGCTTCTCTGTGTAGGGTCCTGCTCTCCACTCTTCTCCCTTGATGGTCCCAGGGACCTCCGCTCCTATACTACAAAGTTAATCACTCCCCTCCTTTTGCTACACAACATTTACCTTTACATTACCAACCCTCACAATCAGTCCTGAAAGGATTATTCACTCTTGTATCACAGGAGACCTGTCCGCATCTCCTTTCGTCAGTCCCGTCTAAACAGATTGGATACTACTCAGTGAAGATTCTATCTTCCTCCACGCCCTGTGCATCTAGGCTCCCTCTTGAAAGCTTGTGAGCCAGTCACTTCTTGCCTTTGTAGGCCCCCCCAACTTTGGGTAGCCAATGTCCAAGTTGCCCATCCCTGTCTCCTCTGTGTATGGAGGGGATGGGAATGATCCTAGCTGTAAAGATTTGTTTCCTCTTTTGAGCTGCATCCATAGGTTTAGGTCAAGTTCATCAAATTGTATCAGATTACTCTTTTTTTCCTCTTGTTTCTTCTTCAAATTGAGCTCTGATCAAACAGTCATGGAAGCCAGGTCAAGTGGGTATTATCTGCAAATATGGGTGTTCTTGTGCATATACCCTCTTCTTTTATCAGCTAGATGCTTCACTCTCCATTCGAGTCCTCTGTGGCTATGTCACTGACTCTGGGCCCAAGAGTCTTACCACAGTGCTGGCCAACCAGGTCTCCAGCCAGGTTCACAGAAGTCTATTGAATGTTGTGGGGCTTAGCTCGCAGCTTCATTGATGTTTTTCCCTCAGCCAACGTGGTCACTGATCAGAGCTTGTATTCCCATTGAGTCTTATAGTCTTGGAAGGGGGTTTGCCCTGAGGGGACCCAACCACTTGCCTTGATGTCTCCTAGGCGAGCAATTTGCTTGTTCTTATAGTAATCAGTTGGTCTGTTAATATTGTTTTGTATTTTTCCTGTCGGTCTTTCATTCAAGAAGTATATTCTGTTCTAGCCACTCCAGGCTGGTTTGCTTGTCCTTTCAAGTGGGAATTTCCCACCTCAGAAGATTTTGGATGGGGTTCAGGATTCCATCTATGGTCTTATGTAATGCAGAGGCTCCACAGGAAGCCTCCCTAACTGGGCATGTTGTAGCCCCATTTTAGGTATTCCAATCAGTTATAGGCAGAAGACGGACTTAAAAGCTTTCTGTGGTGATATTTCTGGTATTCCTTTCTCTCCTCTTCAAGTGTCTATTTTATAATGGTGTGCCACGGAAACCAAGATTCAAAAGACAGCCAAGCATCTTTTCCCCCCTTTTGCCCATTGCAACCATGTCTCAATCCTTGTATCCCTGATCCCTGTTGTTCCAAGGTTGTGCACACATCATTATTTACCTCTGTCCCGCTTAGCCCATGCAAACCTGCCTAATTGTTCTCCCATCTGCTTTGTTCTTCCATTCCCATTCCCCGACATTGATTTTTATTTGTCATTACTGCTGTGTTTCCTATTAACATATTCTTGAGTCTGAAATGACAAGGAACAAACTATGCATGAACAGAATTTTCCAAGTAACCTGAATAATGAGTGAAAAGGCTTTAAGGCAAAGATGAGTTTAAGACATGGAAGGGAGGGCCATGTGATCGGAGTATGAATGGGGAGTATATAAGTGATAGAAGATGAAACTATAGTAGTATATCAGTGTTTGGATTGAGTTCTGGAGATTAGCAACATGTGTGAGCATTGTTCTTTAAATGTGGTCTCTACCCCTGAGATGTTTACAGATTACGTAACAAAACAGTCATGCATGTAAAAATGCAAATCAGATTTTTTCGAGCAAGGAAGGGCTTGACATCATCTCAACTCTTTGAATGAACTGCAGGTCCCATCTTCTTCAGTTTCATCAGTCACAAATTTTGCATAAATTGCAGCACTGGGTTAAGCACTCGACCTTAAGGTTGCTTTGAACTTCATGGTTGGTGGTTCAAACTCAACAGCTACTTCTGGAAAAGCCCTATACAGGGTTACTATGAATTGAAACTGTTTCAACAGCACTTAACAACAACAAGCTTACTGGTGGAGTTTCCTAGGTGCACAAATGATTGGAGTCCTGGTGTGGCCCTCTGGGTTAATGCGCTGGACTTCAAAGTTGGTTTGAACTGCAAGGTCGATGGTTCAAGCTCACCAGCCGCTCCTTGGAAACCCTATGCAGGGTCACTATGAGTCGGAACCAATTCAATGGATGGTACTTGACAACGCAAATGACTAGGAGTCCTGGTGTGGCACTGTGGGATAATGCACTGGACCGCAAGGTCAATTTGAACCACAGAGTCGGTGGTTCAGACTCACCACCTGCTCCTTGTAAACCCTATATGGGGTCATTGTGCCTCCGACTCGACTCACCACCACGATTATTCCCTGCCGCTTGATTCATTTCCGCACCCCTCTTTTGTTATCCCATCACATATATGTATTTTTCATATTGTCTCATGATTATTTTTGTGACGAGTCTTTCCTATTAGACTGACCTTGCAGAGACGAATCATGCTTATTTCTGTATCCATTGTGTTTAGACAGCTCTGGCACATAACTTTGTATTTTTTTCCATAAATAATTGGCCCACATAAATATGCTTAGGATGCATAGGAAACTAACATGTGAGGGAGTTGGATGGTTTTGCAAACAAAAACAAAATACGTAACAGTCATATTATTTGCATGGAACTATAGTTGTTTTTAAGTGCTGTTGAGTTGATTCCGACCCATAGCGACCCTGTATAGGGTTTCCAAGGAGCAGCTGGTGAGCTTGAACCACCGACCTTGAAGTTCAAATGACTTTGCAGCCTGACGCATTAGCGCACAGTGCCACACCAGGACTCTTACTTTATAAATGTCTGAATGAAAGAGTGAATGAATAAGTGAGTGACAGGCTGAGGGTAGAGTGAGTCTAGATTGTATAAGACCATGTTGTTGTTGTGAAGTGCCGTCGAGTCGGTTCCGACCCATAGCAACCCTGTATAGGGTTTCCGAGGAGTAGCTGGTGAGCTTGAACCACTGACCTTGCAGTTCAAACGGCTTTACAGTCTGGCCCATTAACCCACAGCGCCACACCAGGACTCCGTATAAGACCATAAGGAGCTTGAAATTCATTCAGTAAGTCAGAGATCTCTAAAATGAGTATGCAGGCCATCAGTTGGAATGTGGAGAGGGGCAAAAAACAATACTTCCATTTATATAAGGGGACTTCAAAAAGTTTCTAGTAAAATGGAATTCAAAGATAATAGAATTTTTTCCCACAAACTTTTTGAAACCCCCTAGTATTCCTTGTTGTTGTTGTTGTTAAGTGCCGTCGAGTAGGTTTCGACCTATAGCGACCCTGTACAGGATTTCCGAGGGTGTAAATCTTTATGGGAGTAGAAAGCCTGATCTTTCTCCCGCGGAGCAGCTGGTAGTTTCGAACTGCTGACCTTAAGGTTCGCAGCCCGATTCGTAACCACTACGCTATCAGAGCTCCTTAGCCTCAATAAATTTATTTAATAGTTGGAT